ACACATCCGAAGTCATGCAGCTGTGGGGGGAAGGGGGTGTGTGCACCATGCTTACATTGCAGAAACTCAACCTGCTAAGAACGGCAAACAATGCTGAAAAGCAATATATTTCTGACTCATACTTACTCGTAAATCCTGACAGGCCAGAATATTGTCGAGCCACTTATACAGATAGCCATCCGGAGAGAGGCCGACATTGTCAAAAACAGGGCCACAGCATAGCACTGCTGACATGGCCTGGAATTAGAAACGGTGACACCTTGAGACGGAACCCGGAGCATCAAACAGAGCCGGTACCCAGCCGGCTTCAAAGAACTCGGCGGGCAGATCTGGGGGCTGCCTTTATTTTTATCTCAGAAAGTCTCACTGTTTAGCCCAGGTTAGCCTTGAACTTGCAATCCTCCTGCTTCAGCTGCCCCAGTGCTGGGATCCCAGGCGTGCACCACCAGGCCTGGATTGATGGCATCTCTTTAGTGACAGCTGTTCCTCCAGGGTTTTGAAAGTATGCCTTAGCAGAGTCAATCAAAATTCCTCCACCAGATTTCAATTTCAAAAACAAAAGTTAAAAAGCTATAGCTTCATGGATGTATGCATTTGTGGTTATAATGCATGTTGTAAAGAAAGAATAAAACAAAATGACTATTTTACAACAACTCAAATCAAATTTCCTTTAGTTGTTTCAAGTTAGTTAATTCAGCTGATAAGGTAAAGCTAGCTGTTTGTATTTTGCATAGTACTAAAATGCTTGTCATCCTTGATCCAAAGTTAAAAAAAAATCGAGAACATGAACTTTAGATCCTTTAGGGGAGGACAGTAGTGAATGGTAAGAGTAAGAAGAGGGGATTTTGACTAATCTGTGCTGCTTGGCAGGACAACTGACTCTCAGGGCAACCATGTCTAGGCACCCCATGAGTTGTACATAAGCGTAAGCCGATAACGCACGGTGTAGACGCCAGCTGATGCAGTTACAATGACTGCTGATAGTTACTCCTCTCAAGGGCGCTAGGCTGCAAGACCGCGACCCTCCACAGGCTAACATATTCCAACACTTGGTCCTCAGGTGGTGGTACTGTTGGTTGATTATGTTTTTCCCCCTCTTAGGTTGGAAGTTAATCAGTAACATTTAGTAACCTCAGGGGCAAATAGGCAAAACTGTTCTGTTCACACAGAGGAAACACTGGATAAAAGCAGTAACTTGACAACATTTTGCAATTGTGAGCCTACCTGTGTGCATGTATCCATTTTTATTATATCTGTACGTTTATTTTATTGTATAATATTGACTATTATAGCTACTTTTAAGGCATGGCTGCTGGCTTAAAAAAAAAAAAAAAAGAGAGACCCCTGATGCTGCGAACCAACCTTTAAGGCACAGTACTGGTATCTCGTGATCTGGTGGTTTCTGTCACTGTACCGATCCAGAGGTGTAAACATGATGCTGAAGGGGCCCGCCCACTGGCTGAACAAGATGAAGAGGTGGTGCCTCAGGCTTTGCTGGGGGAAGAGAAATCTCCTGTGGTGAACTAGAGAGAGCAACACAGAACCAGGGTCTGTTAGACAGAACACAGTCGTAGCACCATTGAACATCATTCTCAAGTTGTAGGGAAAGGAAAAAGTTCCACTTTTCCTAAAGCTTTTTAAAAAAGATTTCAATTGTGTGTATATATGTTTTTCCATGGGTAGGCAGGTGTACATGAGCGCAGGTGCCCACAGAGGCCAGAAGAAAGTGTTGGATCATCTAAAACTGGAGTCCACGTGGATGGGAGCTGCCTGATACAGGGGCTGGGGACCAAACTTGGGTCCTTTGCCAGAGCAGTACTGATCCAATCTCTCCATCCTCCGAGGACTGACTATTCCTGTAAGTCAGCTGGGGCTAGAACCTGGGGCTTTGCGCATGCTCTAGAACTTTGCGCATGCTCAGCACACGCTCTCCCAGTGAGTGACACCACCAGCCCCCTAACTCCCGTGATCCTTAGCTGCAGAAGCTTGGCTTTTTAAATACATTCAACACACGCCTCCTTTCTGTGTGTACCCTTCACACTCAAAGTAGGAGGAGAGATAGACACCGGGACCTGCAGACACTCTAACTCAGTGGTTCTCAGCCTTCCTAACACTGTGACCCTTTAATACAGTTCCTCACGCTATGCTGACCCCCAACCGTAAAATCATCTGGTTGCTACTCCATTCATAACTGTAATTTTGCTACTGTTATGAATCATAACGTATATATCAAATATACAAGATAGCCGATACTTGACCCCAAAGCAGCCATGACCCACAGGTTGAGAACCACTGCTGTACCTGATCTTTCCACTTAACTTTTGTGTCTATAGAATGAATTTTTGTGACCACTGCTCCCTGTTATTAGGGAGAACATAGTGGAATATAATATATGCTATTTCAAAAACATGTATTTCACATTACTGAAGAAGTTAAGTTTAAATTGTAGTTTAAGGCCCTTAAAGATGTGGTGGACCAATACAGTTAATAACAACATCAAAACAACAAAAGACACATTAGCTGAGGTTTTTTTTTTGGGGGGGGGGTGCGGTTTTGAGACAGGGTTTCTCTGTGTAGCTTTGCGCCTGTCCTGGATCTCGCTCTGTAGTCCAGGCTGGCCTCGAATTCACCTGCCTCTGCCTCTGCCTCTGCCTCCCAAGTGCTGGGATTAAAGGTGTGCGCCACTACCGCCTGGCTAGCTGAGTTGTTTTTATACTTATATCCAAAATTTACAATCTGAGTAACTTTTATACCAAGTCAACCATCTACTTTGTTTCACATGCCTCTATCAGAATAAAAACATCTCTGTGTCCTGTGAGCTAGCCTTTGCCCGACGTAACGGATAAACCAAATATAAAAGGAATTCCGTGCTACAGAATCCTAGGTACTGTTCTGATTGAAGGAAGGGGCTGGAATCAGGTTAACACAGGCAACAGGAGAAAATGAAGCTTCTGGGAAGGCTTCCTCTGAATTCCTTCCGTCAAAACACTGTCAGTTCATTTGGGGACCAGGACCAAAGCCAAGACAGAAGTGACATTGCCCAATAACAAACGTGATTCTGACTGTTCCCTGGTGACTCCGCTAGGTTGAGGTGACCTTGTCTCACGGGTATTTTCAGTGTCTCAGAATAAACAAAGAAACCCCCTTAGGCCTATAGGCAGCCCGTCGGGAATCAGGGAAGAGCAGTCACAAGGAAGGCAAACGCTTTCCCCAGCCCAAAGGTAGCTGGAAATGATGGATTACCTGGGACACATTGAATCAAGTTGGCAACCATGGCGCTAAAATGCGCTCGGATGTCTTTAAGAATTTCAACTTCTTTGTCATTTTCAGCTTCTAAGAGCATGCGGGTCAAGTCCACGTACTCCAAGAACAGCGCTCCGAGGGCCAAGGTGTCCCGCTCCAGGGCTCCGTTGGTGCTGGAGGAAGGGAAGGACGCCTTTAGACAGGTTACACATCAGGGCAAAGGCCTCATGAAGGCAGTACAAACGGTTGGCGTTCACACGGCAGATCTGGTCTCTATGTGCACCGTGAGCGGAGTACGGAAAAAGAGGGGCAGCTGAACAAAACCTTTGTCCAAACAATACATGTAAAGAACGAGAAGAAGCAGAGGCTTCGGCAGGAGGAGGTCAGTTCAGTATTTGATCCCACCTGTCACTTATCACCCCAGCGTCTGCCAGAAGTTCGAATATCCGCAGCAGCTGCAGCCTCAGCAGGTCTCTCCGTTCTCGGCGTTTCTTGTTCTGCGTAGGAAGAGGCAATGCCACTTACGGTCAAGGATACTGCAGTGTGAACCTTAGGGTGAAATTCGGTATTTTCAAGTTTTCTACGTAAGAGGGATGCATCGTTCCCTCTTCCTGGTCAGTAGAGACAAGGGCAGCTATCACAGGAAAACACCGTAAGTGAGCAGGAAGAACATACAAGGTGGGAATGTTGAGTAGTGTGCCTCGTGTCCAGAGTGACTGGAGAGGACAGAGGATTTTGTCACTCTCCACCGAGTCTGCTCAGCAAGCACACGCTATTCTTCAGGCTGCTAAATTTCTGCTACTTCTTAAAACAACAACAACAACAACAACAAAAAAAAAAAAAAACCAAAACAACAACAAAAAAAAACCCTAAGCTTATTTTTATGTGTATGAGTGTTTTGCCTATATGTATATATGTGTACCCGGTGTATGCGGTGCCCATGGAAGCCAGAAGAGGGCATCAGATTCCCTGGAACTGAAGGTATAGATGGTTGTGAGTGACCTTGGCCCTCTGGAAGAGCATCCAGTGCTCTCAGGAGGCGAGCTGTGTCCTTAGCCCCAGATTTCTGCCTTTTCTTGTATCACATCTATGGGAAGCTTCTTTTTCAATCTTACTATTTTTCAGTCTTGGTGCATTGTAAGTAAATTCTGGGATGGATTCATTCTGGGGGAAATAACATTGAGGAGTATATCATAAGCTAAATGAGACCCAGTATTCTGACATTGATTCCTGGGTTTTGCTGTTGTTTTGTTTGTTTGTTTGTTTTTCCAGACAAGGTCTCTGTGTAGCCCTGGCCATCTTGGAACTCACTCTGTAGCCCAGGCTGGCCTGGAACTCACAGAGATCCGCCTGCCTCTGCCTCTCAAGTGCTGGGATTAAAGGTGTGCGCCACCACACCTGGCTCTGGTTTGTCAATAATGATGACAACAAAACCAAGCGAACTAAAAACCAAAATTAAATTTTGACTTAAACTTTTGTAAAAGAACAGAAACACATCTCCATGTTATGCATTTGTGCATTTAGAAAAGAAAATTCTTTGAAATCTGAATTACTTAACTATTGAAAATGACAAAATCCAGTGTACTGGGGTTCCTGTGAGAATCAGGGTAGGGTGTTTGTATTCTTTAGGGGATGATAAAGGGGACCTAAGGTTCATACCACTGTCCAAATGAGTCAGGCCTTCATGATGGGACTCCAGACCTTACCTCTGGCCTCCTCTCCAGAGCCTCCTTCATTAACGGATGGAGTTCTTCGACCAGTTCTCTACAGAGGGAAAAGGTTGTCGTGGATATAAAACTCATCACCAACATATCCATTCCAGCATAAATACATAATTATGTCACTTGGCTGCCATTCAAAATTCCTGTGACGTCTCTGTGGGTGTTACTCTATACAGACATATCTACCTTTGTGCTGCACATGTGGATTGGAGAACACCCTATCTGAACAATAAAACAGCATTTCCCAAGTCCTTACTAAATCCAGGGCACTTCAGGACTGGCTATGAAATTGAAAATGAATAAAATTGAGTCTGTGTCCTTAAAAAAACCTTTCGGTCCAATCAAAAGGAAATAGTGAGTTGATATTGAACTATCTTGGGGACCCATGCTCAGGACCCACATAATGGGTTTAAAACATGAAACCTCTATTTCAGAGCCAAGCTTACCCTTGCATTATATGACAGACACAAATTATAGCAAGAGATAAAATAGTGCAGTTTTCATTAAAACCTTTCATGTGTAGTAAAAATATATTGATTAATAGATATCTTATTAATTTCTCTGTGTTATATATGTATTATATGTATATGCCTATACATTAAATGTATTTTATATGTGTATTATGCTATACATATATATGCATTATACACACCCACAAACACACACACATATATATGTATGTATGTATCTCACCTGCCCTCTCAAGTCTCTAAATATTGTTTGTTTTGTTATGAATTGTCTTTTTTTGGGAATTATTTCTGAATTGCTATATTAAAATAGACACAAAATGTAGCTTGCAGCTAGACAAGTTTGGAAACTGCATGCTTTCCTCGTGGACACTAAGCATCACCCTCCAGAGAATCAGAAAGGCTGTGAGAATCCATAGCACTCTGCACTGAGAGGAAAATCTGAGGCTTAGTCTCCATCACTCAGATAAAGACAGAATTTCTTCATCAAAGAGTCCCATTTATAATGTATAATGTTAATGACATTAAAATATAATATCAAAGGATAATATATTGGTAGAATTATATGGTAACACTAATAATGTTAATATTGATAATTGTTAATAACCCTCTCCTACTTATCAGCTATTTACCAAATATTTTCCTATGTGAATATATATCTAATATACCCTATTAGCAGATTATGGGGCAGATTCCATTACATCAAATTGGTTTAAAATAAAAAAATTTAATTTTACTTCTGTGTGTCTGGGGTACAGGCTGCACACCACATGCATGCAGTACCCATGGAGGCCAGAAGAGGGCAGTGGGAATTGAACCTAGGTCCTCTGTAAGGGCAGCCAGTGCTCTTAACTAACATTGAGCTATTGGTCCAGATGCTCAGCTTGTTTTATTAGAGAGATTTTTATTAGAGTTGTTGTACTAATCTTGCAGCTGGGCAAACTGAGGCTCACAGAGCCTGTTCAGACTCCTGTGGCTGGTTAGCTGAAGGGTAGCGTCTACCTCCAGGAATACAGAGAGAGGGTAAGCTGTGCTCAGGGACTTGGCAGTTCTTTGGGAAAGATCACTGACTGATTTCAGGAATTGTGAGGTGTTTTTTTTTGTGTGTGTGTGTGTGTGTGGTGGGGGTTTGAGATAGGATTTCTCTGTGAAACAGTCCTGGCAGTCCTGGAACTCACTCTGTAGACCAGGTTGGCCTCGAACTCACAGAGATCTGCCTGCCTCTGCCTCCTGAGAGCTGGGATTAAAGGTGAGCCACCACTGCCCAGGGTGAGTTATCTTTTTAAAGCTAACCTAACTAATTAATAACTGGCTAAATGCTGGTTAATTGGTGCTCTAGTAATGAGAACTTGTAATTTCTACTTATTGTTCAGGGTGAGATGTTCGAAGAGTCCTCTTTTCTCACTGCATGGGAGCTTTTGTTTAATAAATGTTACCTTCATTCTGATTTGTTTACATCTCAGCTTATCACCAGAATTGGTGTGCATCAACATTTCATGATGTCTCTTTCAGAAGCTTTGACACCGCCCCAAGTATCTGACCGTAAGATCACAAAGCCGGTTTGATTGAGGTACAAAACAAGCTTTACAGAAAGATGGCTTGTGCGAATTGAGCCCGCCCAGTGGGTTCCATTCGTGTGCCACCTTTGAGTCTGTGGTAGGAATGGCAGGAAATCACACACTGCCCTTCTTTTGGGTTGCAGCCTCACAAAGTCTGGCTAACCGGGCATGGACAGGGAGTTATCTTCACTTACATTTACCTAAGACAAAGCTTGGCAAGTGAAATAAAATTTGAGAGATAAAATCAAAGCTGGGAAAGGAAGGCCGCTTACCTTCAAACAACAGCGTGAAGGACACCATGCACAGCCCATCACCACTCCAGACGCCAGCTGGCATCTGTCACCCCCAAGCTTGACTTAAGAGATAACCGTAACCGCAGCAACACGTATGATTTAGAAGAACGTACTGTGGCAACCATACCTGAAAACAAGGGAATTTGTTCTTCCAAATCCTAGAACAAGCGACTCTGTGATCTCGATGCTCTCCAGCCTCATCAAAGGCACCAATTGCTTCAGCAGGACACCCACTGACGGTGTGCCGATGGCCTGAAACAAGGTGACTTGACGTGACAAAGAGAACATGCAACCGACTGAGTGACATCCCAAGGTACTGCCACCACTTCAGGAAAAAAACCCACATATTTAATGCAGTACAATTTAAGTATTTCCTACCTGGGATCCGAGTCCTAAAGAAAAATCTGACCTTTTCTTTTAAACTATGTAAGTCAACAAAACTATCTTTAATAAAATCATTGGCTAGAGTTGTGGTTTTCTGGCGTTCAGTCCGTGAAGAGGGAAAGAAGGCATGGAGGAGACAAGCCCAACCTCGAGGCACTGATAAATGCAAGGTTCCCTAGAGCAAGCTTCCCAATCTTCTATTCTTCCATTCCACCCTCACAGGGGAGCAATAAATTATTCACAGAGACGCTTAATGGGATCTGGAAATGTGTCGGAAGAAAATCCGATTCCCTGCTATTCCAGATGGCAGGCGCGGTGCCTTTTGTACTGGGAACGCTAGACAAGTGAGCTAAAAAAAAAAACCTTACAGAAGAATTCCTCTGAAGCATGTCATGTCACCTTGTTATCGTAGCTCACTGTACCATCGGGGGTCGTGGCCATGATCTCTGGAGTGGACGCTCGTAAGTGTCCTGGGCTCATAATACTGGGTTTGGCAACTCCAAAACAGAGAATGAGGTAATTTCTCCACAAGGTAACGTAGTTGTCTCCGCTGCCCGCGGTGCTGGTTTTCTTGGCATTGATTGGGCTGCTACAGACAGAGACAAAAACAGAGGCAAACTCAATCCCTGATTTTATTGTTTGATTTTTAGTTATTTTATTTTTAATCATGTGTGTGTGTGTGTGTGTGTGTGTGTGTGTGTATGTGTGTGTATACACACATGAGTGTCAGTGCCTATGGAGACCAGAAGAGGGCATCAGATACCTCGGAGCTGGAGTTACAGAGGGTTGTGGGCCGTTCAGCCCACTGAAGGTGGGTGCTGGAACTGAACTCCGGTCCTCTGCAAGATCAGTGTGTACAGCTTAACCACTGAGCCGTCTCTCCAGCCCTGTTTCCTGATTTTGAATATGAATTCTTGGGGCTCTAGCTGAGATAGGATCTCACTCTAGAGGCCTGGCTGGCCTTGAACTATGGCAATCCTTGTATGTCAGTCTCCTGAGTGCTAGGATTGTAGGCATAGACTACCAACCCAGGCTGTAAATATCACTTGCTAAATAAATACTGTTAGGAGGGCTCAAACGATTAGGTAGCTGTCCCTCAAGGAAGAGAGGATGGACAGAAGAATTTTAAAGGTCTCGGTATTAAGAGTCAAGTTTCCTACACTAGTATACGTAAGTCATACAGATTATCAAAGCAAAAGCAAAACCAACCCTTGCTCTAGAGAGGGTATTTTTTTTTTATCTCTACCATAGATTAAGAATTCTAGAGTAGGAAATTAAAAAATTAAAGAAGATTGTGATAGTCCAACCTCTTACAGGAAGTGAAAATTTGAGAGAAGTAATGATAAAGCCAGGGAAACACACGGACACCTTACTTTGGGTCCACCAGCGGCATCACGGACTGCAGCCGGGTGAAGGCGTAAGGCCAGGCATAGCTGAGGGCCGTGGGGCAGTGTTTGGGCAAGTTCTCCTGGCGCAGGAAGCTGAAGAGGCAGAGGACCCAGGGGTCTTTGACAGACTGTGCGAAGATCCAGACGTGGGAAGGGCTCTTCACGTCGTAGTGGCTGTTCACCAGGACGGCATTCCATTCCACCAGCCACTGTAGATCCACGTTGTGGGTAAGTGGTAGTGTTGCCTGTGGGCAAAGAAGCAGGTGGTCACGGGTAGACAGACCGGCTCAGCCACAGTGCCTGTCCTGACCTCCGAGGCCATGGGCCAGCTTTGGATCTGCAACACCCATCCTACACCCATCCCATACAACGCCTGAGTGAGTCAGGTGAGTCCCGCTGCCAGTCTGCAGTGTGAAGTTCAGTGCTTACAGTAATTTATTTTTTATTGCTGGTTTTTGAGTCATGGTCCCACTAGGTAGTTCTTATTGGTCTGAAACTTGCTATGTAAACTAGGCTGGCCTTGAGCCCAGAGAGGTCTGCCTGCCTCTGATTCCCAGGTGCTGGGATTAAAGGCCTGTGCCACCACGCCCAGCTACAGTCAGATTTTTAAATTTTGATGTCACATAAACACTGTGTATGAGCACAAAGAAGCTGTTCAACAAACATTTGTGTGACAATACATGATATTAGTTCATTTAAACTTTACCACAGATTTATAGTTTTTTAAATTTATTTTTATGTATATGAATGTTATACCTGCATGCATGCGTGTGTACCACATCTGTGCCTGCTGCCTGTGGCAGTCAGAAGAGGGCAATGGATTTCTAGGCACTAGAGTTACAGGTGGTTGTGAGCCACCATGTGGGTGCTGAGAATCCAAACTTTGGTCTTCTTGAAGAAACAAGTGTTCTTAATCACTGAGCCATCTCCCCAGTCCCAGATTTACAATTCTAAAATCCTGAAGAACTATTCAAGTGTGGATTCCTAAGTGTGGATTCATTCCTGTGATTTGTTTGTGTGGATGTGTGCATGGTGTTTTTCATCTTTATTTAGAACGAAGCATCTCACCTGCGGTTTGGAAAGACAGCCGTCAACACTGGCCCTTTTCTGAAGAGCATTCTCCACATGATTTCTGAGATCAGAGACCTGCTTAATCTTTTACTCTATCAACCCAATGTATTTCAAAACTTCTTTAAAGATAAAGATATGTATGTATTGATAAGTTCCTACATTTTATTCTCTTTTAAGTATCCACATCAATATTTAGGCAATACCAATTTTTGATTTATTTATTTTTATTTTATATGCATTGGTGTTTTGCCATAGGTTATTAGGTCCCCTGGAACTGAAATTACAGACAGTTGTGAGCTGCCACGGGGGTGCAGGGAATTGAACTCCAGTGCCCTGGAAGAGTAGTCAGTGCTCTTAACCACCAAGCCATCTCTCCAGCCCTGGAAATACCAGTTTTTAAATAACATATCTATTGTTCCAAGGGTGGGGAAGCTTACCTTTTTGGGAGGCCTTTATAAAATGATGTTTCATCTGTTGGGGCCATGAACTCCCCTGGATAAATGCTACAGATCTGGCCTTCATATATTTATTGCTGGGCTAGAGGGGGTAGAACTGGACCTTTAGAGTTAGAGGAACGAGACCCTGTCAAGTGCTCCGCCTAAAACCCGTGTTCTGGGGAAATCACCGAATCCAGACTGTCTTCCTCCTTCACTTGTGACTAAGCGATTGTAACTGATCTCTCCTAATATTGTTTTGTGAATCACATGATACAATGGACATAGAGACACAACACTGCCACTCCTTCCTCTTCTGAAGTTCAGGATGCTAACCTGGTGACTCCTGCTTAAGATCGTATTCTAGCAAATATAGAAGGAAATCATGTATGTGGTGATATTGTGTCCCCCAATATATTATGCACCATAATAAACTTATCTGGGGTCAGAGGACAGAGCCAGCCACTAGATAGACACAGAGTCCAGAAAATGGTGGCACACACATCTTTAATCCTAGCATTCCAGAGGCAGAGATCCTTCTGGATCTCTGTGAGTTCAAGGCCACACTGGGAACAGAGCCAGGCATGCTGGCTCACACCTTTGACCCCAGCACTTGAGATCTCATGTCTTTTCTTGGGAAAGACACACTCTTTTAATCCCAGGACTTGAGATCTCCTGTCTTGCTTGGGAAAGACACACTCCTTTAATCCCAGGAAGTGATGGCAGGAAGCAGAAAGGTATATAAGGTGTGAGGACCAGGAACTAGAGGCTTTTTAGCTTGTAGGCTTTTAGCAGCAGTTCAGCTGAGATCCATTTGGGTGAGGACCCAGAAACTTTCAGTCTGAGGAAACAGGATCAGCTGAGGAGTTGGCGAGGTGAGGTTGGCTGTGGCTTGTTCTGCTTCTCTGGTCTTTCAGAATTCACCCCCATACCTGGCTACGGTTATTTCATTTATAAGACCATTTAGCAATTCAGCTACACGTGTGAATAGATATAATGATTATCTACAGAAGAGGAGATAGGCATGTCTAAGAATAACCAGTCCATCTCATGTTCAAATAACTGTAACGTAAGAGAATGCATGCTTCTTTACTCTGCCTGTTCTGGTCTGCAGTACCTGGTTGGTAGTTTTAGTAATTATCATAATTATTATTGCCAAAAATTAGCACTTCATGTTCAGTGTCAGGGAAGGCTATGAGGAGCTCACAGATTCCCTCCAACAGTGCAGACATTTGCATATGTGGGAGGCATCTCTGCCAGGCATGAACTATACGTGTTCTCCAGGCACCCTGGGTTCCCCTGCCTATCCATGGAGCTGAAATGGACCTAGGTCCATTCACTCTTTTGAAAGATGGACATCTAAAATTAGCTTCGGTTTTCCTTCTGCTTTCTCAGGGCATTGAAAAGCACCATGATGCTTTTCCAATGAAGACAGTGTTTGTAGAGCAGGTAGGGCTCTGCTGGAGTCTGGGCCAAGAAAGGGCGCAGGTGAGCCCTTCGGTATGACTGTGGGTGCCCATCCCTCACAGCAACGGGAGGAGCATACTCAATGTCCTGTGTGCAACCAACAAGTGTGCCCTGAGCTAACCCCCCAGCCCTTTCCCTCTTAATATTTTTGTGTTCTAATAACTGTGAGGGTCAAAGGCAATACACATGGAGCCACCTTGCAAACTGTCAAGTAAGGCAGAAGTAGGATTTACATATCAGACTACTGTAATAAAAAATGTTGGGTACAAAATGAAACAAAGATTAATTTTTTTTTTTTCCAAGACAGGGTTTCTCTGTGTAGCTTTGCACCTTTCTTGGATCTCACTTGGTAGACCAGGCTGGCCTTGGACTCACAGAGATCCGCCTGGCTCTGCCTCCCCAGTGCTGGGATTAAAGGCCTGTGCCACCACCACCCGGCAAGATTAAATATTAAAGACAATAATTAAGGCAAGTTAATTTTCTATAAGAATCCAGAGTAAGCCGGGCGGTAGAGGCACACGCCTTTAATGTCAGCACTTGGGAGGCAGAGGCAGGCAGATCTTTGTGAGTTCGAGGCCAGCCTGGTCTACAGAGCGAGATCCAGGAAAGGCGCAAAGCTACACAGAGAAACCCTGTCCAGAGTAATTTTTCTTGAATTTGAAGTTTTAAAAAACTATTAACTGTATTTCTAAGGCTCAAATTTTCTTTGGAATTTTTTTCTCCAGACGTGTCCTGTGCAATTATCTGAAAAGCTAATCTTGTTTTCCTAGTTATCTCTGCCTCAGGTTATTAGTCTGCTAAGAACCTTATGCTTCCACACATAGTTATATTTTAGAGACAGGCTCAGAACTTACATTTGACAACAGATAGCATTTGGGACCACATGTTTACTTACCGAATCTGAAACTGCCACATGAATGAAACTTTCAAGAATGGAAGAACTTAGTTGATCCATGACATCAATCATCGGCCTGTCATCGTCCTGTACAAAGGAGGAGTCAGTTACACCCCTGGGAAATGCATGCTTCCCTCCCATCCCACAGCCTTCAGCCCAGGACGTGGAGCAGAGCAGCCTGCCAGATAGTGATAAAGGTTTTCTCAGAGAGATGTGAGTGTCACCAAAGGCAAGGCAGGAACTAAAACCCCGTGGTCCTGAGGATACACAGGCTTACAATTCCAGCGCAAGATAATTAAAGCTCCAGTTTCAAAGATTCTCACATACTTGAGAGTCTAAATAGCAGGGTTGTATATTGGTCACAGAGGCAGGCATTCATGCCTTTGTGATAAGCTTAAGGAACAGAAACCCTGCAGGAACATGCCTTGCTGGGACACTAAAATGCTCCTTATTTGAGGTCACTGGCTCACCAGGATAGCTGATAACGTGGACTGTGACTGACTGTTAGTTCCCAAGAAAACATATATAGACAGACCCCCGCATCCTGGACTACCCACAGACTGCGCAACTCTGCCTTTTATCTTGGGACGACATGCTTTCCCATCATCATTGAAATTAAGCTGTTTGATTTGGCATCGTGATGTTTTAAAGATATGCTACTTTTCCTATTTATTCTCTAATGTATATGTAGCATCTTCTTAATTAGATGTATGTTGAACACTGAGAAAAATGTTGCTAAATTAATTAATTAACCCTAACTAAATGAATCTTAAAACTCTTAGTAAAGTAGGGTCATTCAGTAAATTAGAAATGGTCTCTTGAGTCACTGTCAGAATACATGATTTGCCTCCAGTAGATTAAGAATGCTACTATTCCCAGGAAATTGCAACAATATGGTCACATAATGACAATACCAGTTGGTAGTCCAATGTGGGTGGGGGAAGTCCCACAAGGCCCCACCCCAAGATGGACAGCTCCAGGCAGCTAATGGCTGCTGAGAAAGAATTAGTCTTCTCCGTGGACAAGCCTCCGACAGGTTATCTGTTCCTAAGTGGGGAGCCCTAAACACACATCTGTATGAGCAACACCAAGCAGACTCTGCAGGTTATAGTTATACACAATATATATATATGCAACAGTAATAAAGAGGAGCTAAGGAAATCGAGGAGGGCGCGGGAGGGGTTGAAGAGGGGGGAGCATTGTATGGAAATGATACAAATGCAGTGTGAAATGCTCAAAAAAAGTTTTAAAAAAAGGCTATTATGGGGGTGCAGAGATGGCTCAGGAGAGAGGACCAGGGTTCGGTTCCCAACACCCACAGGGCAGCTCACAACTGTCTGCAACTCCAGTTCCAGCAGGTTTAATGACTTCTTCTGGCTTGCAAGGACCCTGCGTGCACATGGTACACATAGATGCAGGGAAAATACTCATACACATGAAATAACAATAAATAAAACCTTAAAAAACAGTTAACAGGATTTTTTAAAAGAATTCTATTATAGCCTGGGAATGGTAGTGCATGCCTTTAATCCCTGAATGTAGGAGGCTGAGGCAGACAGAGCTCTGTGAGTTCAAGGCCTGCTGGGTCCACAGAGTTCCAGACCCTGCCTCAAAACAAAATAAAGCAAAAAAAAAAAAAAAAAAAAAAAGCTGCTACCTAATTAAAACCCAACAATGTATCAACAGTGAAGTCTTGGTGCTACACATGTTGCATATAGGCAATAGCAATGTGTTATTTCTACTTTTTAACCGAAAGCTCTTGAAGGGAATGACTAGGAGACTTCCTGAGAAGATGCCATACCTCAGGCTGACCCAGGGCATGGAAGAGAGCTCGGATCTCCTTGAGTATCAGCACGGACAGTTTGCGCGTGGCCACCTGGAAGCTGCAGAGCAGGACAAGAGCAAAGCCTTCCACAGCGTGGAGGACGCTGCAGTGGGGACCACGCTCCGACGGCATCCTGTGGCTGGAGCCGTTGGGAATGAGCTGCCGTGCAAGAAAACATTGCAAGTTTAGGCGAACAACAAGGGGAGGCATACAGCTTTTCTGCACATTAGACTTTGCAATATTAAAATAAATGTAACAGCTTAGAGACAGAGTGTGTGAATTAATTATTATTCATGAAATATCCTAATTCTCTCTTTTTTTTTTTTTTCAGATCAATGGGTGCTTTGTGATAACTCCAGCCATCTGTTATCGCTGATGAGAAATGACTGTTCAAAGGCTGTTCATAGTGAAGAAACGAATATTGCTTCTGGCCACACCATTTGGGATTATGCGATCAAAGCGGTCTAATTTGTTTTCACTGAAGTTTTCTATGAACAAAAGATACAATTGAGCTGGATTTTCAAAGACATTTACTTTTTGCTGAGACTTGCTTGCACACACACACACACACACACATTTGGGGGGTACTGGTGTATATGTGTACTGGGAATATTGAACCTAGGGTGTCTTATAGAAGACGTTCTCTAGAGAAGGAAGAAGTTCTCTACTTCCAATGACAGCTCACGCCCAAAGCTTCAGAAGAGAATTTAGGTTCTCTTGGGGTGAGGGCTTATCACTGTTGTTTATTTGTATTTATTTTTAAAAACTTTAAAGATATTTTTATTCATTTTTAATTGTATGAATATGCCTGTGTGTGTGTGTGTGTGTGTGTGCACACGGGTGCAGGTTGAGTCCAGAAGAGGGCATCAGATCCTCTGGAACTGGAATGAACAGGCAATTGTGAGCTCCCTGATAGGGTACTTAACCGGGGTCCTTTGGGAGAACAGTGTGCACACTTCACTGCAGAACTACCTTTCTCTCTCCTTTTTACCTGCTCTTTTGAGACAGGCTCTCACTTATGCATCTCAGACTAGCCTAGAATTTATGATCCTCTGACCCCTGCCTCCCAAGTGTTGGGATTAGAGGTGTGAGCCAGCACACTCATTTACATTTTCACTGGGAGGAATCCAATCCAAGCTTTGCACGTCTACATGATGGGTTCTGGGAGTGCCCAAACTGCAATCACATGACCCTCTTGCAAAGACAGATGACACTTCGGTTTCCTTTTTCAAAGCTTTGGAGGTTACTGTTTTTCAATCAGTTGTCCTCTGTGCGTGTGCACACGGGGACCTGAATGCCACCCTCACTGTTAGCTGGGTGCTGCTATGCTGCCCAGAGTCTACACAGGCCTCAAAGCCACTGATGAGCCTATCCATCCAGAACCAGAGTCATCGGGATGGCCAAGGTCAGCTCACCACGCGGCACTGAGAACCTGGTCCTCTTCAATGCACTCTCCAGACTGCTGGCATTCATTTTCACCATTCATTATCAAGAAACTGTAAGACTGTGTTTTCATCTCAGCTGATGCAGAATAAAGTGACAAGTACTTTGCTAACTAGAAAAAACAACCTGGTAGACAGCAAACTGTGGGCTCTATCCTTATCTGTCTTGATGCCCACAGCCCCGCTCAGTTCTAACTCTCCATCCTCCAATCATTTGTCCTTATTTTTAAAGACTTATTTTATTTTCAGGTATGTGTATGGGTGTGTCCACAAGACTATGGGTGCTCATTTAGGCCAGAGGTGTCAAATCGCCAGGAATTGGAGTTACAGGAAGTTGCAAGCCATCTGACATGGGTGCTGGGAATTGAACTTGGCTGCTCTGAAAGAGCAGTATGCACTCTTACTATTTACTTACTTATTATTTATTATGTACACAGTGTTCTGTCAGCACGTATGACTGCAGGTCAGAAGAGGACTCCAGATTTCATTACAGATGGTTGTGAGCCACCATGTGATTGCTGGGAATTGAACACAGGACCTCTGGAAGAGCAGTTAGTGCTCTTAACCTCTGAGCCATCTCTCCAGCTTTGCAGGATGCACTCTTAATCTCTAAGTCATCTCTCCAGTACACTGACCATTTGTTCTTATAAACAAATGTGTGATCATAATTCTTCCAGGGGAAAAAAAAACCCACAAACAATTTCTACTCCTTACATACCCCTTGTTGGAGTTAACAAGTCCGGCCTTATGGTAGAGCACATTCTGAGTTCTTGTCACAATGTGGCTGGAGGAAGAACTAAGGACTAGATTCAGAGGAAGGTCCTACGCAGTAGGAAGGAAGAACTCTGAAGGTTTCCTAAGTTGCCGTGTGGTGTGTGTGTGTGTGTGTGTGTGTGTGTGTGTAGCGTGCATGTGTGGTGTGCATGTTTGGCGTGCATGTGTGTGTGTAGTGTGTGTGTGTAGTGTGCATGTGTGTGGTGTGTGTGTGGTGTGCATGTGTGTGTGTATCGTGTGTATGTGTGTGTGTGTGTGTGTGTGTGTGTAGTGTGCATGTGTGGTATGTGTGTGTGTGTGGTGTGCGTGTGGTGTGTGTGTGGAGTGTGTGGTACGTGTGGTGCGTGTGTGGTGCATGTGGTGTGTGTGTGTGGTATGTGTGTGTATGTGTGCATGACATCACAGTGCGCACATGGGGGAATCACCTCTGAGTTTCTGATCTTGTTGGCTTGTTCGTAGCCTCTTCCTTGCGTTTGGATAACCAGTTTCCACTGGGTGAGCAGCTGCAGGAGCAGCTTGAGGGAGGAATCGAGGAGGGTGTGATGCATGTCGTTGACTTCCCGGAGCAGGAAGTTAGTGAAACCGAAGAGCAC